GTCACAAATCTTAATTTCCGGGGGTCAAACATTTCCTAGCTGCTCTCTCACTTTGGAATGTTATTTTTACTTAGAATATGGGGTTAGCACGGTAAGTCCTAAACCTTTGGTGTGGATGAATGTGTCTGTATGCCCCCTATCCATGGGTGTCCACAGCATGCGTAACATGTGGGTATGGCTTTACTTCACACTTAGTTCCTTCCAACTGCCAGGAAAACACCTCTGAGTTGGACTTTGGAGTTTCATGGTTTATTACTAGAGTGTTCCCTGGACTTCCGTATTCAACTTGCATCTGCTAGCACAAGTGCAGTAATTTGACTGCATTAAATGCAAGCAATTAAGGAGAAAACACACAGCTGAACTTTGCTATTTCATTGCTACCCCCGCCGCTTCCCCAAATGTAACGAGGTCTTGTGAGTGAGACGAACTCTGAGCTGCTCCTGTTTGGTACTTGGTACCAGTGTTCCCCTGGGTTGCCAAGGCTCCGTAACAATGAAGCTTATTCATTTATAGACAATAAAGCCAGTGATAGCTGCTTAAGGGTCAGCACAGGGAGTCGTGAGCATGTGTTCTCGACAGTGCCTAGAAATGGATTTAATCAGATCATGGGCAGGAGGAGAAATTTTGGAGTCAGACTTGGGATTTTGGGAATTTGAGGGTAGTATGCTATTGGACAATCAAGTCAACCTCTTTAGGCCTCTATATTGCTACTTATGCCATAAAGATAATAATACTTACTTAGCCTTTTGGATTTTATTAGACTAGCTATCACATAGATACTCCCCCAGCAATGTCACATTCGTGCTGTATTTCTAGCAATAAGTGCTGTTTTTACATGCTATTATTGCTTTATTTTTTAAGAAAAAAAATTCAGGACAAAATATCTTACTAATTTTAGTTAATATCCTATTAGTTTAGTAAAATCTTTTAGAAGAAAATGACGAGTGAACAGGTAGCACATAACTTAAGACCCAGGAAAATCTTATTGAACAAGCCTGTCAAAGGCAAGAACAGAAAGTTGTTTCAGAGTTGAAGAATACACTATTTTTATGTTCGATGACCTTTGGACTCAGACTCAGCCATGCAAAATGTGGGGATTTTATTCTTTATGTTATCCTTTATGGCCTATGGACAATGATTTACCCTTGCTCTGAACACAGGGCACATCCTCCATGATCCAGCTCCTCCTGCAGATCTGCGACACAAACAGCTTTGACAGTGATGAGAACAGAACTGACGGAGCATGCTGGGAAAGCAACTGATGAGAGGAAGCAGGGTAGAGAGAGGAATCCAAAGAACCCAGTGAGGGATGAGCCTGGAAAAGCTGGGACTGAAAGCTGAAGTAACAAGACCAAAGTTGAAACAACAATAACAAAAACAAAAGCAAACAAACAAACAAAAACTAACTAGAAAGTGGGAACTAGCAAGAGACTAGCAGCGCTGCTTTGTAGTTGTGTCTGTTTGCTTGTTTATTCAATCTTTTTAAAGACGGCAGCTCATGAAGGTACCAGAGGGTAAATGGTTAGCCAGAGACGTGGGACGCCCAGTTGGGAATGTGGTGATCATGGTCGGTGATTGGTTGTAGCTGCCAGATGAAATAACCTGAATCAACTCAGTGGATAAGAGAGAAGTGATTTCTCTGTTATTGGGTGGTTGCATTTCCCCATCTTTGTTGCTGTTGTTGTTGAGGCAGTATTTTATTTGTCCCAGGCTTGCCTTGAACTTATTGTTTAAGAAGATGATCATGAACTCATGATCCTTCTACCCCTACCTCCAAAGTGCTGGCAATACTGGCATGTGTCACCATGCTGTTTATATCAGTGGTTCTCAACTTTGCTAATGTTGCAACCCTTTAATACAGCTCCTAGGGTTCCGGTGAGCCCTACTTCATAATTGTAAATTTGTTACACATATTTGATATGTAATATAAATATCTGTGGGTTTTGATGGTCTCAGGCAAGCCCTGAGAAAAGGTCATTTGATCCCCCTAGGAGTTCATGACCCAGAGGTTGAAAACCACTGGTTTACAGTGCTAGGGATCAGACCCAGGACTTTGTGTGCATGCTAGACAGGTACGGTAGCAGCTAAGATATAGCTGCAGCCCCCAGTCACCGTCCTTGCTATATGCTTCTTCGGTTTCTTCTCCGTACCATAGCTGTAAGAAATCTTAAGATTCCACAGTGATCCCACTTCTCTCCTCTTCACTGTTAGGACCATAGTTTCCCCTCGTCCTTTGTCCTGTACTCCACTGTAGCTAACGCTGTTCCTCGTGACTTAACTACTTCTATCTCTAGTCCTGTCCCTTGCCACAGTCTACTTTCAGTTGCCCCAAACGTCTTTCACACCCTCCCCATTGCTGTGTCTTGCCCACTCTTTGCCTAACTAAAACTCTCTCAGGTCCTAGACTCAGTAAGCGCCCCCTCCCGACACACTCTGTCGATTATTTTACTGTTGTTACCGCTTCTCCAGCTCTTTATTACAGCTCAGAGACAAGAACTGTGTGTCTCCAGGTCATCTTCTCCGTCCCCTTGTCCTTCGGCAGCCACACTAGTACCTTGCTTAGCATCTCATATTTAATACATCCTTAGTATTTGTCACATAAATCACCTGGCAGAGCCTTAGACTTATTTCTTTTACAGAATTCAGGATTAAGGCTTTTTAATAACAGTGCCTGTTTTGGTATAGAATTTAGGTACTTACAAAAAATTATCTCCATATGAAGTTCAGATATACATAAAATTTAAAAAAAGTGTGTTTTGTTGGGCAAGGTTGCACTCATCAGATAGAGGCAGGCAGATCTCAAAGGGTTTGTGGCCAGTCTGGTCTACATAGTGAGTTCTAGGACAGTCAGGGATACAGAGTGAGATCCTGTTCTCTTCCCCCAAAATAATTGCAATAAGAAACACACAAGCAAACCATGTTCATATATGTGTAGAGATATTGTGTACTATGAGAAGAGAGGGTCTTTAAGAGATTTTGTTGAATCTTTTCTGGAAAGAGAAATTGCTGTAGACAAGGCCATCTTTGGAAATTCTAATATGGCTAGCATCATTTCAAACTACTCCTTATTAGATATGGCATTTCACCTTATAAATCCTGCTCTCCTGGAGTTAGGAGAAGCCCTTGGTGAGGTGTTGGTGTGGGATCACTGTGGGATTGGTGTGGGGTTGGTGTGTTCCCAGGCACCTCTAGGAATTTAGTCTACAGCTTGACATCTTTCTCAGCTTTGCCTTGAGAATTTTCAGGAACAGCATTCCAGTACTGATAAGGTCATCTACCCAGGGCACGCAACTCCAAAGCAATGATACTTTTCTTTCCATTTTGCTTTTTATCTTTAAATGCCACCACTTCTTGCCACGCCTATAAATTGGTTCTACACTCAAATTCAGTACTCAATTTAAGAGACTTCAGGTTTAAGTAAAACTTTGCACATGTGACCAGTAATGTTGAAATCAGATTTTTCTTTTTGAAAAGTTCTAAGTCAAGAGCCTGAAGTGCTCATTTACAGCTATAGCTATTAATTAAAACTTGCACGAGATTGGCCTCTGCTTACTGCTCTTAAAATTATGTGCATGTGTGATCATCCTAGCTAAACTTAGGGGAATATATTTTGATGATAACGTCTTCACAAGTTGGATTAATGTAAATCTTCTTGCTATATGAATATTGTGCCTTTGAAACCATGCTTGACAAAATCATTTAGAATGATTTTTTTCTTGAAAATAATTTAAACTATCAACACTATAGTAAGTTCTAAACTACCAGGAGACTCAAGAACCCAAGCTACAACAACACTGACATTCCTGTTGAGACAATCCCATGTGATTTAGGGTCAGAGTGATATTAACCACACCAAAGTGCTTCAGAATTTGTTAACATTCTGTGTCAATTCTTGGAAACTCTAAATGAGTAATTCATAGAGGAAAGTATATAACTGAAGTAAGGTTTTACATTATGTGCATAAAACTAAAACAACAACAACAAAGCAAACTATAATGGTAAAAATAAAATGGCACTGTTCGCTGAGGAGTGGCAGTGGGCAGCGGGCCATGAGACCACTGCAGGCCATGAAGGCAACAGGGTCTCAGGCAGGGAGCCGCATGGACGGTGAGAGACCTGGGCAGGGCAGCCAGTCCCATGAGGGCAGCCAGTCCCATGAGGAGCCACAGCCCCTGCAGGTGAGAGACAGATAAATAGGCACACCATGCAGAGTGAGGTTGGATATTTATTTAGTGAATTAAGGAAGGGAAAGGGGAGAAGGGAAGAAGGAGGAAGAACAGAGAGAGGCAGAGAGACAGA